AACGCCTGGAGTGCACCTCACGGAGAGCAGACGTGTCGTGCGCTCGCAGCACATTGTCACACACGCCGCGCCCCGCGCACGGCACGTAGTGCAAGCGGCTTCGCACGACACGTCTGCTTTACCTTGTTATTTAGTTATACACTTCGCAGCTCTTGTTAGCGTGAGATCATCAGAATTGTCAAACTCCTCACCCAGAGGGTGGCGCTGGCCCCGCCCGACCACGCGGCCAGCGCCGAGCGCCTTGGACCACGAGGTCTGGCCGCCTCACGCCGGTCGGGTGATGACCGGCCGGACGGGGCGAGGGGAGACTGCTGGCAGCTGGCGGCAACGGCGCTGGGCGCGACGCGGAGCCCACCACCTCGAGACGCCGTAGGCACACCGCAGAGAGGGTGGCGCTGGCCCCGCCCGACCACGCGGCCAGCGCCGAGCGCCTTGGACGAGGTCTGGCCGCCTCACGCCGGTCGGGTGATGACCGGCCGGACGTGGCGAGGGGAGACTGCTACCAGCTGGCGGCAACGGCGCTGGGCGCGACGCGGGGCCCGCCACCTCGAGACGCCGTAGGCACACCGCAGAGAGGGTGGCGCTGGCCCCGCCCGACCACGCGGCCAGCGCCGAGCGCCTTGGACGAGGTCTGGCCGCCTCACGCCGGTCGGGTGATGACCGGCCGGACGGGGCGAGGGGAGACTGCTGGCAGCTGGCGGCAACGGCGCTGGGCGCGACGCGGAGCCCACCACCTCGAGACGCCGTAGGCACACCGCAGAGAGGGTGGCGCTGGCCCCGCCCGACCACGCGGTCAGCGCCGAGCGCCTTGGACCACGAGGTCTGGCCGCCTCACGCCGGTCGGGTGATGACCGGCCGGACGGGGCGAGGGGAGACTGCTGGCAGCTGGCGGCAACGGCGCTGGGCGCGACGCGGAGCCCACCACCTCGAGACGCCGTAGGCACACCGCAGAGAGGGTGGCGCTGGCCCCGCCCGACCTCGCGGCCAGCGCCGAGCGCCTTGGACGAGGTCTGGCCGCCTCACGCCGGTCGGGTGATGACCGGCCGGACGTGGCGAGGGGAGACTGCTACCAGCTGGCGGCAACGGCGCTGGGCGCGACGCGGAGCCCACCACCTCGAGACGCCGTAGGCACACCGCAGAGAGGGTGGCGCTGGCCCCGCCCGACCACGCGGCCAGCGCCGAGCGCCTTGGACCACGAGGTCTGGCCGCCTCACGCCGGTCGGGTGATGACCGGCCGGACGGGGCGAGAGGAGACTGCTGGCAGCTGGCGGCAACGGCGCTGGGCGCGACGCGGAGCCCACCACCTCGAGACGCCGTAGGCACACCGCAGAGAGGGTGGCGCTGGCCCCGTCCGACCACGCGGCCAGCGCCGAGCGCCTTGGACCACGAGGTCTGGCCGCCTCACGCCGGTCGGGTGATGACCGGCCGGACGGGGCGAGAGGAGACTGCTGGCAGCTGGCGGCAACGGCGCTGGGCGCGACGCGGAGCCCACCACCTCGAGACGCCGTAGGCACACCGCAGAGAGGGTGGCGCTGGCCCCGCCCGACCACGCGGCCAGCGCCGAGCGCCTTGGACCACGAGGTCTGGCCGCCTCACGCCGGTCGGGTGATGACCGGCCGGACGGGGCGAGGGGAGACTGCTGGCAGCTGGCGGCAACGGCGCTGGGCGCGACGCGGAGCCCACCACCTCGAGACGCCGTAGGCACACCGCAGAGAGGGTGGCGCTGGCCCCGCCCGACCACGCGGCCAGCGCC